AGAGAAGACGGTGAAGTACGGTCCGCTGCGTTGGGAATTGCAAGATCAATATCCTTGGTACAAAGTACAGCAGTACAATCTCATTATGGACGTGTTAGGAGAATGGTCAAGGAGTATGGAGGAAGATCTGCGAAAGTTATTGGGAAAAAAAACCCAAAGATGTGCTACGGAATATGCATTAAGCAGTCTTATCAGGAACTTTAAATATAGCAAGGACATTTAAGATCATAACATGAACATTTGTATACCACATGATATAGAACATTCAAGAATATATAGGACATTTATATTGGATATATTGGACATATAGACTCCTTATGTTCTGCCTTTACTAAATAATTTGATTTATATTGTAAATAATTGCAAGATTTGTTAATATTTTATTGTTGAGCATATCTAATTGTAAATAGTTTGAACATTTGTAGGTTACGTTTACGCGCCCTATAAGTGTCTTTTCATTGCATCCAGATGTTTAATAAAACTGCATAATAATAATAATAATAATAATAATAATAATAATAATAATAATAATAATAATAAGCTCAGGGTCGCACTAGTTTTAAGAAGAGACATAATGCACACATTGTTGGATAAACTTGGCCACTGTCGTGACGGATTTATTAGTAACAACATAACGTAACTGTAGTGTGGCGTGACATGAAAATAAGTAACTAAATGTCTCTTCGGAAAAGGTGGGGAAGAAATAATCGCCACAGGCCACAAGCATTTTGGCCACCCCACCAATGACCCGAAGCTAAGTACCCCGGAGAAAAATGCTTACTCATAAACCTTTGCTCATCAACTTAGATATCACAAGGAGCTCCTGACTGACCTTGTCAGATTCCAAGGGTTAACGTTCGCAAAGACCACAACTGAACTAAATTAAGAGGGCTTCGCAACATAGCCGTATATGGTGAATTCTAAGTGAGTAGATATGAAATGGCGGTTCTGCATCACGGGCCCCGTCGGGCTACCCCGGGCCCGTAGGGGGAGGGGGCGTTCTACATCAGGATCATGCGGATTCATTGCGGATAATCGATTAGWTGCGGATTTTCCACTCGGTCGCCTTCGGATCTTGGATTTCGGATTCATAGGGGTTTTGAGATCATCTTCTATTTTTAGATTGATAGAGGGTGACGTCATGATTATTATTCAAGGCAGGAGGGAATTTTTCCTCTCATCGTATTCAATTTGCGTGACAACTCGATTTGTTATTCCTAATTTATTGTATGTCTACGGATTGATTACGATTTGATTATATTATATTTATTTCGATTTGTGAGAAATGTTTGACAATATTTTATTCATACTCGAAATTTTCTAAGTCGCCCAAAATCGTAATGATATTATATTAGATATTTTTCAGATTTTTATTCTATAAATGTTATGAGGACATTGCCAACAAAGAAAGGATAGACGAGATTGAAAGAACCAAGGGAAGAAAGGTCACYCTTGATGAACTAATCCATCGGGAAGCAGACGAGTCCTTTTGGCAAAAGGCCTTTCATAAAGCCTGGTTTCGTATGCAAAGASAACTTCCCTTACCAACGTTATTGCAAGCTTTCGACTCTTTCATGGAGTATGAGCATGGTTTAGAAAACCCCAAGTGCTTAAAACCAGTCCTGAGAAACTACCTCTACAAACTATATATTAACAATGTAATAGGTGTAAGTGTACGACAGCCAAAGGAGCTAAAACTTTCTAGTTGGCTGTCGTAATTTTCATTTACGGTCAAAAAAGAAAAAGAAAAAAAATTACAAGGCTATAATATTATGATAATACTATAACATTAAATTCAACAGTATGAATTTCCACTATAGCAAAAAAGGAGATAAATCAAATTAAACAGGACAGGAGTTGAACAGGACATTGTGGGCAGGGTAGACTGGGACACCTAGAAGGAGGGAGCAGAAGGGCTTGTTTCAGCATGCATGTAGTACTTAGTTCAGGCGAGCTTCCGAAAATACCAGTTGATAAAAGGTATTGCATGCTATGCATTGGAAAACGAGACCGAAATATGTGATGTGATTGCTGTGTGCTGATCCACTTTGACGGTTTTGTTCAACGACTTCCAGAAAAGTCTTACATGTACTGTAAAGGCTGTGCAACTAGAAGAAACGAGACGCCCTATAGGTGTTCACTAGCTTGCCTGTGTCATGCACAGACTCGACCTAGTATAGCTGAAGAAGTTTGCAGTGTTAGCCAAAAGATAATGAAATGTTTCACAAAAAAGAATGATTTCTTTGGGTAGCCCCTAAAGGTGTTATCCTTGTAATTCTAAAAGAGYTGCAGGCTCTGCGATTATTTTCACTACTAAACCAGAGGAGGGTGATCAAAAGGCACGTGACCCAATCGACCAATCATAAACATGATCACAGGCAACAAAAAATAACACAAGAATTTCATAGTCGTCGTAAAGAATCATTACCTTACTTATCATAACCTCATTTTTTTTAACTGTCGCATGGATTAATGCCTGTAATTAAGTCTCGTTTCCAGATAAGACATATTTCTATGTAAATTTAAAACATTGCGATGGGCATCGCTTTCACACGCTGATACTATAATAGAAACTAAACTATTTACAATCCAAAGTTTATCAGAGTTTATAAGAGGTGCGAAATCCAAAAACATTCGACTTTAGACTTCAAAATTGACCCCAAACAACAAGAACGCTTTATAATTATTCCAAACCAAAAAWTTTCAATTATAAGAACCCCAGCTTGGCAAGAAATATAATTAAAAATGAATTTTGTTAATGAAATGAATGCTTTTGAGAGATATTTTTGAAGAGAAAAATCGGTTCAAGGTTTGTCATCTAAGTTCGAATCGGGTGGAAAGTTGAAAACCTCCCCCGGGGGGGGGTTACTCTCCTATATTTGCTATACGGTTATGTTCCGCCCTATAGGGTATGGTTTTTCGGCTTTGTCTGGGATAGGGTTACGATTTGATCGTCTTAGTTCAGTGGGATAGGGTTAACGATTTGGTAGTTTTTATCTGGCTTATAGGCTACGATTTCTGCCGGCACAAAAACAATAAATACGTTAGTAAATATTGATTGCAATCTATTGAATAACCGTTTTTGGGATAGGGTATAAATCTTGGGGTTTAGTCTGGGATAGGGTGTACAATTCTTAGTTTTGGTCTGGGGTAGGGTATGTAAAGTCAACATTTTTAGGTCTGAGGTAGGGTCAGGGTTTTGAGGTCCTGGCGGCACACACCTACCTAAGTTTGGGTGGTAGTACCCCCCTCCCCCTCCCCAGGGAAAACCTCTTGTATTGAGGGCATCGAAAAATTCTGAAACATTCTACGGAAAATTCTGAAACCATCTGCACTGGGCTAAGCTGTGTAGTGATAGTCCGTTGCATGATCTTCTAGGMGTTCGGTTGAACCGTACAGAAGTTATTAAAATTTAAATAATTGTTATTCGAGTGAGCGTGCCAAAATTTTTCCAAGTGTCGCGGGCTGCTATTATGCGGAGCCAAAAMCATTAAAAATTATTCTAATAGATTTTTTTAGAAAGAATGCACGTTAGATTCCTAACCGAAATGGAGTATTTTGAAATCAATACATAAATCAGGAGAATTTTGGTAGCACTTATCAATATCTAACTTGACCTCTGCGAATGTCCGGCTGAATGTCCGGCTACCTTCAGCGTCATTTAGTCGCCGGGTATGTGATTTCATCGGTTGTTTGGATGCTCGATGTTCTAATACTCAATCAATCTTGTTTGAATAAAATTATCAAAATAAATATCCACTACTTAGCAGTATTTTGCAGCAAGTAACAGCCCTTATGGTCAACGGCCACCTTTCATTCCTCATTTAGTTCTCGGATTTTTTGGCACTTTTAGGAAACAAAACGATCCTTCGTTCCCGAGGGTTGTCAGTGAAGCTAACGTGGCCCCCAACTAGTTTTAATGACTTAAATGGCAGAGACTTCACCGTCGAAGTGTACAGAAATTGAAAGTCTACACAGTGTAGATATAGGAAATCACCAACAGAGTGATAAGTTTATTGATAGCAACGCTAATAAACCAAGAAGACCTAAAAATAACCCTGATGACAAGGCTAATACACCAAAAGCCTGCATTTCACTGCCATACATGGTAGGTATCCCAGTAAATAGGYGCATATAAAAACCTTTTCCCGAGACATTGCTCACGCTTGACATATCTCAGCCTCGAGCAACTTATGTATTTCCTAATTTAGCGTGATAGACCTCAAGAGGATTCATTTTCTTTTCTTTTTACTCTTCGAGATATTCATGAGTATCCCAAAGGATACGAAAGGAATAACGATGATATCCCGACGAGTTTTAAAACAATAGCTGTTAATTCCGCTAGAGGTTTGTCACGATTGGAAAACATTGACACACCACCAAGAAGGTCTATTCAAATGTTTCTTTTCATTTGTTGAGTCAAATTAACATAGCAGTAGTAATTTTTGATTCAATGTATACTCCCCTGGATATATCGTGATAATGATTTATTTATTTTACTTTTTATTCACTTCTCAGCATGAGCAAAAGACTAAAAGCAAATGAATTTTTCGTCAACAGAGTATGTGCAACCATGTGACTCAAAATCCCTTCAGATATAAGTACATGCTGTTTGTATAAAATTTATTCTAGTTATATTTGAATTTCAATATTTGGTTTCTTTCACTACGAAATCTTCAAAAGAAGTTGTGTCACTTGCACAGAAGTGCTTAAATAAAGCAAACAAATCTTTTCCAGCCTAGTATCAATTTTTCAATGTATAGTTAGAACGTTAATAGATTTTCACGCTCTAAGCAATCRACAGACTATTTTGTTCAGGTAGGTTCTTGATTTATATTACGGTTGCAGCGGCGCTTTTGATTGGCTGCATAGAATTTAATATTGTATTTATAAATTGTTTTTCTTACTCAATTTCTAAGAAATGAAGGTCACGCAAGGGTATGTTCCAGGAAACCTAACAGTGGTACACTTTATTTTATTGTCGATTCAAATTTTTTTAACTGAGGAAAATTCAAACAATGATCAATTATAAGGTTCCTTAATTTTAGTATAAAAGAGTATCAGTTGCTTTATAAGTTCTCGCAAGCTACCAAACAATTTTAAGAAGCGTGTGCATATGGTAGGTCAGAAGTATTTTACAAACCAACCAATTCTCAGAAATTTTGACCTAACTTCTGCAAAAAAAAAAAAACCCCAACGACATAAGAGGTATATTCTTTACTAAATGGGCCAGGTATGTATTTAGCTAATTATTTTTTCATCCAATATATTACACCTTTTGCTGTTCATTAACGGCAAAGGAATATTCATTGAAGCGAAGAACCATTTTCATTAGCCGAACAGGCATACAATAAGGCGAACGGAGTCTCAATAGTGAGATGGCACGTGTCGTCATCAATTTCCGGTCGCCATATTGGTGTACCTCGATAGCGTGACTATGCAAAAACATGTGTGTAACAATCATGCCATGACTAGCGAAGTGCTCTGAATAATATGGAATATGTTGCCGGCGAAAAGAAAAAAAAAAGAGTTTAGCGACAATTTATCTTCAATACCTCTATCTGAGTATGCCAAGAAGCTGGAAACTCGAGTGAAACGGCGTTATCTTGATAAAATTTCGTCGATTGGAATCGACCCCGTGTTAGTTGACAGCAACCTTTTTGAGYCGGACTGTTTACCTCCAGTAGAATCTACAGATCTGCTATTTTATCTCGTCCTAGAAACAAGTTTCTACACAAACCAACAGTTTAAAGCTTTTCGTAGTYTGGAAGCTTATAATCAGATGGTCTCCGGATTTATTGCAAGCGTAGAAGGCCACATCATTTCTGACAAGTTTGTTGTTGTCGCGAAGGTGAGACATTCTCAGCGAATGAACGATGCTCTGATCCCAGTATGGATAATCACAGAAAAACAGGAGAACATAATTTCTTGTCACTGTTTAGGTTGTAAAGCGGGTCTTGGTGAGTCGTATTCTCACGTAGCTAGCGTACTATTTTACCTAGAAGCCTGGACGAAAATAAACGGCAAGTTATCCTGTACCCAAGTAAAGTGCACGTGGATTTTGCCAACCTACGTGAAACAAGTTGATTATGCTAGAGTACGAGATATCAATTTTACTTCTGCACGAAAAATGAAGACGGACTTANTTTTTAGGTCTTGCTTGCTTGCTTGGTTGGTTGAGTTTTGGAGTTAAAAATTCAAAATCCCCGAGCTCTATAAATTGGATTGGTAAACAAAAGACTTGCCCAAACTTGCCTAACAATACTCTCCCCGTCGTTTTATGGTAATGATTTAATACAAATAATTAAATCCACCGCATATGATACACATAATGCGTGACTTATTAGAACATAATTAAATCCTCGGCAAATATACTCGAATCCACCGCATATGATCCACGTAATGCGTGACGTCACAGAACATAATTACATCCTCTCCAAATATACTCGAATCCACCCCAAAATTAGTAAATCAACCCCAAAAATACGGATCGTGCCATGCGACCTATRCTACTGAAATCATTAATATACATGTTAAAGTCACCCATGATGATAGAAATTTGGGAATCGCTTATTTTATCAAAGACAGAATAAAGCAGTTYAAGAAAAGATTCTAAATTACTATTTGGATGCCTATAAATGACACCGCATAGTATATGTTTATTATTATGATCGTCAATTTCAATCTAGAGAGATTCCATATCTTGCGAGACAATATTAAGATCTTCTCTAATGGTGTAATTAATTGCTTCTGTAATATAGAATCCAACACCACCAGCAAAAGAATTCAGTTGAGATATAAAAGTATAGCCAGATAAAGATATATTGGTTACTAAGGGGGTAATAGAATTAAGTTTTATCTCAGATATTCCAACAAGAATGTCAAAAAAATTACGGAGGCCTGACAACATAGTAAGAGAATCAAWATTAGCAGATAGACTACGAACATGACAATGAAAAAATGAAAAGAGTTAGATCGAATAGCTTGTAATTTGGCAGCTAGTAATGTAGTTTAGAGGATGTAACTAAATACATTTGCAATTCTCCAGCTCAAGAATTCACTCTCAAGTCAATAACAACACATGAAGTAAAACAAAGAATAGATTTTCTGAAATGTAGTAAATCAGTATCTGATATGATACTGATTTATTCTATTAAATTAGCAAGCAGAGAGTTATCAAAAYCAATGACATACATAATTAACGAGTCAATTCACAAAGGGATTGTCCCAGATCTATTCAAAATATCTTGCATAACGCCCATTTTTAAAAATGAAGATAAGTCAGATCCATCTAATTATAGGCCTATTGCAACCCTACCAGTCTTTAGTAAAATCCTTCAAAGAATCGTGTATGARCAGCTTGTTAAATTTCTTGATCAGCATCATGTTTTAAATCAATAGCAATTTGGATTCAGAAAGAACCACTCAACCAAGCACGCAATGTTAGAAATAAATGATAAATTGAAAAATTCAATCGATAATAAAGAAATAACTTGTGAAATATTTTTAGATTTCAGCAAGGCTTTCGATACTGTCGATCATCAAATCCTACTATCTAAGTTAAAGAAATATGGTATTCGGGGAAAATCATATGACTGGTTTGTCAATTACTTAGCTAACAGAACACAATGCTCTAAAATCGGCAACGTTAAATCAAACCTGCGGCAAACTAAATGCGGAATGCCCCAAGGGAGTATTATTTCTATTATACGTTAATGACTTTCCTAACATATCGCAAAACCTAAGTTTTAGAATGTTCGCAGATGACACCAACATCTTTTACTCCCACAAAGACCCAATCGTAATTGAACGTATCATGAATGATTAAATGGCAAATATGTTACATTACTTTAACATTAATAAACTAACAGTGAATTTCAAAAAAACAAAAAAAACAAAAAAAAACAAAAAAAACAAAACATTACATGATAATAAAGTCACCTCGAAGACGCATACGAGGGATTAATATTTCTTGTCTTGAACAAAAGGAACACATTAAATATTTAGGTGTTTATATCGATCAACATTTAAACTGGGATCATCAAATTAATTTTGTTTATAGCAAAGTCTCCAAAAATATTGGTATTATCAATAAGTTAAGACTTTATGTTAGCATTAAAACTCTTCGCGACATATATTATTCACTTATTTACCCATACCTAGCATATGGTGCTTTGTCGTGGGATAATACATATAAATCCAATCTAACTAAACTATACACGATTCAAGACAAATGTGTCAGAAGAATATTTTACTGCAACAAACGTGAACACGCCTTACCGTTTTACAACTTACTAAATTTTTTAACCGGATAACATTATAAAATTCAAAGCAGGAATACTTGGTCACCAAACAATTAATTCTAGCCATTYATTTCCAGAGGTTTTCAAAGATAAAATCAAACTAGCTAAAGAACATCACCATATAACACACAATATGCAGCTAAACGAAAAAATTTGTCCGTCCTTCTATCAGAACAAATTATGTGAAATTCACATTTGAATTTTCTATAACAAAAATATGGGAAGAAATCCCAATCTCTATTAAAAATTTAGATTCAATCAAACGTTTTTTAAAAAAATTTAAAAATACATTTAATACTTGCCCAAAAGGATTGTTAGTCTAAGAGTTTTACCAAGTTCACTTAGTTCTAATCTGCAAGTTTAAAGTAACAATAACAGTAATCTTTTACGTATTATTGTTAACATTATTAACATATATATCCCCCCCGGAAATTTTCAAAAAGACCCCTAAAAGATAYCGGAAGTMTTTAAAAAAGGGCGTGGTTGAATGATTTTTAACCCCTAAGAGATAACACAACAAATGATATTAAATTTCATATAARAAGCGCCTAGGAWAAGCCATATCGATGCACGCTTCTCTCCTTTTCCGACACCCTAAGAGATACCAGAAAATGCTGATTTTCAAAAATTCGCATTTAACACCCTAAAAGATACCAGATCGCGAATTTTTACCCCTAAGAGATACGACGAGCATCCCCGGTACTTTTTACCGGAATCCCCCCCCATTCCAGGGTATATCCCATTATACAGTATCTATATAAGAAGTATATATATAAGAAATCTTTGAATCAATTTTCCGTAAAATAGTGCTCAATACATCGATAGAAGTAGAGCAGAATATTCGTTTGAGAAGAAAAAGTCAAGACAACATTTTCCACGACAAGCCTGTTTCGTGAATTGCTTCACTCTTCAGAGGATTTAATGATAAGAATATTCGTTACTATCATTTATATAGAAAAAGTATACATAATTAATTAGTGGATATAGTTTAGCTGTTGCGTAGTAACGCTTTGTTTCTGTGTCGGCATGAAGATACAAGTTCGTTTCGCTTATTTAATGATGAGAGTTCCGGTCGATAGATGAAACTTTTCTTTAAGACGAAGGTTACATCTTTTGCTGGAGCTGTTGTAGGCGGAGCTTGAAGATAGGACGCGCCATAAAATGGAGTAGCTGATATTACYGTTCTTGAGAGTCCAGATGTATTTGCTGAGTTCAGTCGAGTTTTTATGTTGTTCATGGCGGAATGAGGCGGTGTGGTTTCTGTATCTTGTTTTGAAATCGTTTTCGGTGAGTCCTATGTATGTTGCGGTAGTGTTGTTGTCCTTTATTGTGACCGTGGCTTGGTATATAACTGATGACCGCAGGCAGTTTGAGATCTTTGCAGTCCAAYATTTTTTTWATACTGTCCACACTATGCGAGGAGGCTCTCAGTAAAACACTGCATACGAGGGCTCTTATAGTCTATTCGTACGGCAGTCAATTTCGTTCTGTAGTTCTCAAGTATGTTAAAGAGAGTTCGGATATTAACTATCCTATCTTCGTTCAGAAATAGAAAGCGAATAGCTTTTATACACTTGTAAACTTACGGCTATGAAATAAGCGCCGAATAACTCGATGATCACTATGGACTAGCAGACTAYACTGACACACGGCTTCAAAACAAGAACTTCGTGACCAGCATATTAAAAAGACTATAAACATTACCCAAACTTTCCTAAACTTTCATGGAATATGACTTAGTAAAGCTCTTCTGTATCACTTATTGTTTTTTAACAAACATAGGATAGTTCCATTCAAGTTTTTTAAATTACCAAAAGTCGAMTGCCGTAATCAAAGATTTACAATGTGTTTACGTTTATTATGCCGTACGAACGGTCACTCCGTTTCTATCTCAGCGGCTTTTTTAAGGTAAAAGCGAACTTTGTGGCATAGATACTGGCTTCAAACAAATTCCCCTATCCTCCTGTCTTAAAAAAGCATTTAGCTTTGAAATCATGGATACAAATGTAAGAAATTGTGTTACTTGGAGTGTTCTTTCTCAGTGGCTTTTCTGCGGCAAATTACGAACTTTGTTCGATGGCAAATGCCGATCGAATTCCTTGCCTTCTGCCTTCAAAACTCTGTTTGTATATCCAAAAGATATATAGTGTTTGACCATAGTTAGAAAACCTACAAAATTCTTTGTATATCAAAAGATATCCATCAAAATGTAGTGATCCCTCGAACATTTGTAGTGAATTTCTTAGCAAATTACCCGAAGCTCGACCCGATAGTCTCGTTCTGATGCTACATTCATCACGATACCGCTGGTTTGTTGGGGTGGCGTGCTCATCTACGATAAGAGCTATTGTTCTTTTGTCGGCAGTTGTATGATTTCTTGTRCTTTGTGTTGTTTRCGGTGTCGTTGTCGTCTCGGTGAATGTAAAATGCGCTTGTTGTGATTGTCAATGATTTGTTTGGCATTGTTCATGCAGCTGAACATATATATATGTATACGTGAAACTTGGTTTGTTTGGTTATTTTCATGTTTGTTTATTTATTTATTGGTGGTTTTGTGTTGATTTTATAGCTCAATTGTTGTGAAAGAAGAAGTGATACAAATGAAAGGAAAGACAAATACACGGTAAGAAAAAAAAAATTTGATTCATTTCTGTAAAAAGTAAAGCGTTATAACGTGTTTTATAATATGTTTTTATGTTTTTATTTTTTTAAAAATAAGAAATGATAATTCATTGCAGGAACGATACAATGAAGGGGTTAGTACTGTCCAGAAAATAATTGTAATGCGTTGGCAAGTATTTCCATTGCATTGTCAAAATGAAATAAAGGGTATACACAACTGATTTTGCAGGTAGGAAAGATTAATCATCATGAACAATATCGGGTTGAAAGGACACTGCGGGTAGGTAATGTACTATGTACTGATCTCTCTCTCTCTCTCTCTTTCTGTCTCTCTCTCCCTTTCTGTCTCTCTCTTTTTCTTTTATTTCTTACTCTTTTTCATTTTTCTACCTTGCCGGCGCAATGTTTTTCCGTTTCAGACTAAGTGTTATCCTTTATAGTATTATTTGTTTGTTTAGCGGTTTAACTGTGAGTGAGAAGGAGCAYGAATGTGAATAAATACGGCTAAACAAAAAATATTATTCTCAAGAGAATGATAAGTGGTCRGACACGTGATCTGAAATGGGAAAACATGACACAAAAGGTAAAGAGCCATAACTACCTTGATTAATAAATCTGACAAACAAAAGAAATTGTCACTTGCTACAAACATTGCCAGTTAACTATGCTTGTTTACTATGAAATCATTGCGATCGTCTTTTTTTTCTTTAGACCACGTCATCTGAGAGTGGACAACAACAAGCGAATAGTATTGGCACTCAAAGCTCATTATCTGGTAGTGTAAAAGTTGGACAACCACGACTGAACAGTTTTGGCGCCCAAAGCTCATCATCTGGTAAAGTAAAACCAGGACAACCACGACTGAACAGTTTTGGCGCCCAAAGCTCATCATCTGGTAAAGTAAAACTAGGACAACAACAACTGAATAGTATTGGGGCCCAAAGCTCATCATCTGGTCCTTTAACAGCTGGAAAACAAGGACTGTACAGTATTGGCGTCCATAGCTCATCATCTGATTGTGTAAAAGTTGAAAAACAACGACAGGGAAGTATTGGCGCCCAAAGCTCATTATCTGGTAGCGTAAAATTGGGTCATTACCAACATGTTCGGATTGGCACACAGATGCAGGTGTGTTGTTAACATCTTTTGCTATAAAATCATTATGACCACTATAATACTTATTCAATTTTTTGGAGCTTATCATATGGTAGTTTGAAAGTGCAAAATATCAAAAATGAGGGTAACGAAAAATGGAGGAAAATTAGGTAGTCTAAAATCACTAGTGCTGTTGAAATGGGCACTTGGATAAAAATCAATGAAAATTGGAAATGAATTGAAACTTGTTTAAACTTATCTATATGGCCCAGATAGTAGCCAAGCAACATGTTTCCTTCATAATCAAAAGTGGCGGAAAAAATTATCAATTTTATTCAACACCTAAATTGTGAGTAAATGACATCATTTACTCAACCCTATATTGTTCTTTTCGCTTTTAACCCAAAATATCAACAGCGAGTGGCTCCCAGGCTAAAATTTTGGTTTCCATAATTATAATTGAGTCATATTATGAACTTAAACTCTATTTACTATCAATAACGCTACAATACATGCTTTTTTCTTTGCTACTTTCATCGCATTTTTTATCGCTGTTTCTTTCCCTGTCGTCTTCGTTTTTAGCTTGTTCGCATACTGAAAAGCAACCTGATTTGGTCGTTTACGATGTTCTTTTACATCAGTTGTTAAGTTCATTGCTTAAGGTATTAGGATACGTTTACGACCACTATGCGCGCAAACTTAAATAACGC